ACTAACCAACCAGCAAGTATGCTTTTAGTTCTGAATATAGTCCAAAATTAAAGTAAACTCGCATAAGTGTGTGTATACCGGGAAGTGGTATACAGTTCTCGGTGTACATATCTCTCTGTATTTGCTATATCACCTACAGTTAGTTTATAATACTCGTGCAGCGATACATGTTACACCATTAATGTATACAACTGAAGCATCTCTATTAATGGAGCGTTTTAATTAGATAATCTACTATTAAAATAGTATTAATTTTATTGTTTCATCTCTATTAAGCTATAAATTCAGTGTCGAATTTAGAAGCTGAATGAGTCAATAGGTTTATTAACTACATATTCATAGAAGCTGCAGGGATTCAATATAGATATTTACATTGAATCTACAGGGCAATAATTATACCTGCAACCCATGTCAAACATTTTGTGATCTGTTGTTTTGTATTAGAGTAAAATAGTTATCGTCTAATTGGGACATTTGTATATTTTAAGTCTGGAATTCAAACTACATTTATTGTGTAAATTTTTAAAAGCAAAATGGCAATTTTTTTATGGACAATAACGGCAGTTTGCTTAACATATGTAAATTGTAGCACTAATATGAGTAAATAAGATGCTAAAATAAGACGTTGATAGAAAGGGCTCTATCTCCGTCTCAAACTATTCACTACATGACCATTAGTCACAAAAGCATGGTTATCCAGCAGATTATTATAGCAAAAGTGAAAAACAGGCACAGTTTAAAGCAACATGTAAAACAGTACTGCAATACTTAGGACTTTGTAAAATATCTTGTAATTACATCTTTTACACATTGAAATACAACTGCAACAATAATGCACTATGTGCAGTGCACTACATTATTCAGTCATTTACTTTATGCAATGATAAAATTATCTTCATTTATTAGTTAACTCCTAGAAAAGCGCACTCTCTATATATTAACTGTTACATATATTACTGAGTACAAATATTATCTATAATCCTTGCTGCTACATACATAAAGAACTCGCTATAATTCCATTACTGCAAATATTACTGAATACAGGTACTATACATCAACCACTATAGATGTTACACATCAATGATTTATTTATGATAATTATTAGTCATACAAATGCAAATTGATATAGAACAAATAAATATAGACACAATTTAGATATTTTCTATATATACAAAACAAAAAGAACAAATAACTATAGTTGCAAAAAAACACTAATATTACCTGTAAAAATATAATATAGTTAGGATAAAAGGCTATATATATGCAGAATATATATAGCCTTTTGTATATATATAGTATATATATAGAATATATATATAGAATATATATATAATATATATATACTGACAAATATTGTCAGTTTCTATAATGCATATTGAACCGTTCATGCAAACTACACGTACCATAAAGAACAAGATATTAGTACTAACCAGTTTCTCTTCAAAAGAATATATATATATATATATATATATATATATATATATATATATATATATATATATATATATATATATATATATATATATATATATATATATATATATATATAATATATATATAATAGGCCATAATGTATCTAAATTTTGTTTTTTCTACCATTAACCTAATTTCTACAATAAAATTAATTCAGTTTACCTCAAGCTTGCCATTAGCGACAGGTGTTCCTATTTTTGCCTGGAATAGGGAGTTTATTGGGTTATGTTATATACAAAATATTTACATTCCAAAAATACATACGAATCTGATAGTCTTGTCTTTATACAATCAGAGAGCAATTTCTATAGTATTCACATATAGAAGAATATTGCTTTTAATTCATAGAAAAGCAATTCAAAGTGACAAATTTATATAACCGAAATATTATTAACAAAAAAAAAAAGAGATAAGAGCGCATTTTAAGGGAGTTTTCTTTGGTTGTATAAATTATTTACATGAAATGACTGGGGCCAGTGAATTAAAAATCCAACTTGACGATCGTTTAACCAACTCGAAAATCGCAGTTATCCACTTACGAGAAATAAGTATTGCAAAACCCACTGATTATAGCTACTGTTATTTACACAAGGCTTTTCGATTCAAATATGAAAATATCGTTAGTCGTATTGCATCAATTGCAAATTGATGATCCTGCATAAAAATACAGAAATTTTAATGAATGACAAAATTTATCTGCTATATTGAGACTGATAAATCGTGTGACATATTACCTGTGCAGGTAAATATTTTAAGAAGAGCGCATAAGTGTTATTATTCAAAGATATTTTGAATTATAGAATAATTCAGAACGGAGCTATGCTGTAGGAGGGATCCCTGCCACATGTGCTCCAAATTGCGACGCGAGCATCTAGAAGTGTCAGCATTGGAGTAGAGTTTGTTTCAACCATAATTGTGCGGTACGACCTCATTGATGTCACAAATCCTCGGTTTACCTGACATTCCCTGTCGTCTGGAAACTAATACCTAACACTCCCTATCGCCTTTGACACACACTAATATTTGAGACTATTACCTGGATGCACACTAATACTTGACATATCACCTGGATACATATTTTTACCTAACACTATCACCTAAGTACACACTAATAGCTGACACGATCACTTAGGTACACACTGACGCCTGACACTATGGCAATGTTCAATATAACCTGTTTTTGATTCAGCATACAATATGTTTGTGTTTAATATTACAAACTTGCATGAAACGTACTGAAATCAATACTTAAATGTCTATATTTATCACTGACCTAAATAAGCTCTATAATTTTATAGGCCTTAAATATTTAATCAACTTGTACAACCATTAACGGGGATTAGCATAAACATTTTAACATAGATTTAACAAAGAAAATGTTAGAGACATTGATAAAATTTCCATAATTTAGCTCTGGGTTATGATTCTTGGTTAAATGTTATTTATATGCTTGGCAGAACAGCGTTCATTAAAACCTGAAAAAAATGGTATTATGTACATAGTTTACAAGTTAAATTTCCCATGACATTGGTAGATTATTGTTGGCTTTAGTTGGTTCTCTTGAGAGGAACCCTATACAAGGCGGAGCAGACCACAGTTGGTGCAGCAGACGCAGCAGCAGGAGTCAAGCAGACACTGAGGGAAAACGAGGGTGCTGTGTGCCTGAGTATGTGTGCGTGTGTGTGTGTGTGTTTTATACATGCGTGTGTGAAAATGCAGGAGCATATGCGCGCATGCGTATATGTTAACGTGCATTTGTTAACGTATCTGCATTTGTATTCGTGCGTGGTGTACCTGCATTCTTCTTTCCTTTTCCTGGAAGGCATTAGCTGCACATCCCGTCTCCAGGGCTGCCTGCCACGGCGACTTGATCATGGTGATGCTCGACTCCCGCTCCTTCAGGAACTGTTCCTGTGGGGCCACGGCACGCCTGTCTAATGCACTTTACATTCTTCACTCCTGCAGACTCACTGTACCTAACATGCATTCTCTCAGAGCATCTCCACTTCCTTGTCTATAACTACCTACTTCTCACGCACTGCTTCCAGAGTCTCGTTCATTGCTTTACCCAGGTCTCCAACTCCATTCATCGTCCAGACATTTTGCTTTTATCATTTCAAGAAAAAATACAGTAGACGTGATAATACTGAATTTATCCACTAGAATCTACCATTTTTCCACATCTTCTATACAAGGTGAGTTTCAGTCACACTAAATAAATTCATACAGGATCCACATTGATACAAAGGTTATTTATACGTCATCAACACCGTTGGACATGTATTCATGGTAAATCTAGATAAAATAAAATAAAAAAATCAGCTTCAGTTAACAACATACATACTTTCCCATCATATTCCTAATGTTCCATAGATGTCCACGTGAGATCATCGTTCTTTTTTGTATATATAGTACCATGTATGGTTGTCGAATGTACCCTTGTTCTATAGCACTGCCATGAGATAACAGTTGGATGAGGGACAAACATCAAAAAGAGTGCGTAAGATTTTGCTAAAGGAAAGAGAGGATAAACATTAACAAAATTTACTCCTGTTTACTGATGTTTGTTCCACTATACTAGATGGTAAAGGCAGGGAAAATAATGTTAAATACTCGGATATATTTTTACCATTTTTGAGGACAACCAGCGCCATCATCTATTAATATCCCCCTGTTTTCTGTTATGCCTCCAAAATCTACAAGAATGCGTACCATTAAATCATATAACTGTTATCAATACATACCAATATCTGCTCCTGCTGCCGATTCCTTTCATACTCTGCTTGTTTCTTGGAGGTGAAATTGCTGGTGCTAGTACTGGCGCTGCTGAAGTTTGAGGTGCTAGAGAATGACTGCTGACTCGTGGTTATCTGCTGTTGGTGGGCCTTCTGCACCGTCGTCTCATCCACGATAAATTGGTCCATTCGCTTCTTACGCTTAGCGAAGAGTTCAGCTCCTGTTAATAATCGACATTGTTACAGACTCGCTTCCACATCTCCCCCAAAAGACTACAGACTCAAGGTGAGCCTTTGACATTTCTGTAACGATTATACTCTCACGTGGTGGTCCCGCCATGACCAGCAGATGCCCACTACACAGGCGCAGTGAGTTCAAGTTCAAGTATGTTTATTGAGACAAGAAAGAAATACATCTCAAAGGGATAGAGTAGCTTAGGCTATTTCTACCCCAGTGAGTATCGTCTCTACGCGGTGTTCAAGATAACCTCACCACACTAATTACGAGATCACCTCCGATCTATGGTGTGGTGTGGTTCTATGGTGTTTTATAGTGATAACTTTCATTGTGGAGTAGGAAAGTGGTTGCCGGCTCGCCGGATTCAGCCACACCGACCACGAGCGCATCCAGTGAATCCGCAGTGGCAGTGTTATTGTTTACAAGTACGCGGTGGGCCTTCAGTAGCGTCAGTGTTTCCCCAGTGCTTGATATATCCTACACTGCATGTGCCATTGTGATTTATTACAACAGACTGCTTTCAGATGTATGTTCAGACCTGAATTAGTTTGATTTAGTAACTGTCACTCTTCGCAGGAGACACAGCCTCTTGATCTGTACTAACATTGGAAAGTATTCTAACTTGACGTGCATGATCACTTGTAAGTGCCTAACTTATATTTAAGTGAACATACGTGATCTTGCTGAAATAAGTGTGATTTAGAAATTTCCACCGATCAGTGACATAAATTCATTATATATATATGCCTGCAGTGACCCACCTAGCTTTAAGTGTATGTACCTACTTTCAAGTGATTAACCTAGATTTCCAATGTTTTTATAAGTGGTTTTACCTAAAATAAGTGTGATTTAGAAATTTCCACTTTTCAGAGTGACAAATCCAAGTTATATACCTACAACAAACAATAGGCTAGCTTTCAGTGTATGAGCCTACTTTTAAGTGCATTGCATCACTTTTAAGTGAGAATATACAAGTTACTTTATTTGAAATAAGTGCTACATAGCCTTCCTGGCTTGATTCCTTCTTTTAATAATTATTTACTTAAATGAAATGAGTGTGATTTGGGAACTTCCACTTTTAGGAGGTTACAGGAGTTTGGCATTTACGTGCAATTATCAAGAGTGATCTGTGAAATTGTAAAAATGTGAAATGAAGTGTAACGGGGAGAAGTGAACTTAAGAGAGGTAAAGAAAAGTGATAAGAAATTGCAAAGGATACTTGCAAATCGGATATAAAAAACTAAAATATGGAAAAGTACCTCATTTCATTTTAAATTATACTGTACTTAGTGTTATAATTTAGAAATATAAAGTGATTACTTTTATATATAAATATATTTGTTTTTTTTTAATAAGTACCAGCTATAATTTACCAAGCTAACGTATACCCAGGTGTCTATTCTAGAAATAGTCAAGTGTCGCTTTCTCTTACTTTACAACCCCCGTTACTTTATAGGGACAGGGGGGAGTGTGATTGATTGATTGATGAAGATTAAGTCACCCAAGAAATGGCACGGGCGTGAATAGCCCATTAGGAATGTGGAGGGAGCCACATTTAAATAGCCCGCCGGTGGTAGAGTTTCACTCCTCCAGGTAATACCCGACGGTGATTGGCTGCGCCATCCCGGCGACAACGCGCCTCTGGCAGAAGACACCAACAGCTCTATGCTGAGGACATCAACTGTACTTCCTTCCCAGATTTTTGGGCCTGTATCTACTTTCTGGCAGTAATTGGAGGATTCGCCGACCTCTTCTCATTCCTTATCTACTTCTGAAGCCTAGACTCGCTCCCACATCTACCTCAGAAGACTACAGACACAAGGTAAGCTTCTTTCCCTTCTGTAAACATTATACTTACACGTGGTGGAGCCGCCATAACTAGTGCGGTGCCCATTGCAATACCTTGACCCCATCATCAAGACCACATTTGTGGCCAGTGCTGGATGAATTGTCATCAAGGATACATATTGACTTGTAAATTTAAACGTAACTTAGTCCTTTAAGGAAACAAAATATCAGAACAATTTCAAGCGTAAATAGTTAAATCATGAAGTTATTAGTGTGAATCGCATGAGAAATACTGACCTTTCCCGGTGGGACTCTGAACTTCAGTGACAATCTTGCCGACCTCTGGGCTGGGGGGCGTGGCGTTCATGAGGGCTTGGTAGTGCTCTTGTACTGCATGGAAGTCTTGCACGCCTTTGGGGTTCATTAACAGCTTCATGGCAGGTTTCTGAAGATGGAAATATTGATTGTAAAGAAGCACATAAACTAAGGAATACCCATCTAGTTAAATCACAGCTGCTTGAGAAGCTTAACCGAAAATGGGTAAAGATTATATTAATTTCTATATTATTTTGGATTTCACGGATCAGTTAATTAATGTATTGACTTCAATTCATAAATATTCGATAAACAAAATTGCGAACTATTTTAGTTTCTTGTGAATGGAAACCTAGTGGCGTGCGGAGCCTAGTGACTTGAGACACAAGTGAATGATAGACAAAATTATACCAGAATCTTTCCAATATGAACACAAAAGTTCAGCCTTAATTTGAAATAAAAAATTGGCAGATGGATATTGTTTTTAGCTTACATTTTGAGCCCAAATTTGTTCATTTACATAATGCACAAAATGTAGGAGATGACTGCCATACTCTCAAATTCCTCGTGGACATTTATGTTAGCTCCGATAACATAAGCCTCCGATAACATTAGCTCCGATAACATAAAAGTCATCACCGCTAAAAAAAAATCAACGTGAATCATTGGACAGTCAGGTCACATGTTAAAATTTATTCACAAGAATAATACTGACGGTAACACAATGACAGTGAAACTTAGTTACTTGAGAAGCTTTCGAGTTTAAATACTGAAGAAGGTGAGGAAGGTACCACGTACCTTCACTTCAGGGATGCTGAGAGCAGGCATGGAGACTGGGCGACGGGCCTAGTGGAAGATATATAATCACACGTAAACAGAGAGGACATGAGTTTGACAGCACAGATCAGGCAGGCGGCTTGGGAGGAGAAGAATATGGCATGCTAACGTTAAAAGTATGTTAATTGTAGAGTACACTGAAGGCGGCAGTACAGCCAAGGATGAAGGCTACCCATGGAACAAATGCTAATCACCCGACGGTTATTGTTACAAAAAAACAGATACTGCATTCTCTTATAACATTACTCAGCCTTCTTTAAGAATCATGCTTGTCAGCATAAAATACTGCCAGGAAATATTTACATTAGGATGTATAAATATGTGTAACTGATGTAGACGATAGGTTATATCTGAGCTTTCCTTTATTATTTCGGTCAAACAACATGGTGCTTTGTAAAGCTCTGACGTATCCGTTGATGACTCTTTAAGGCCACGTGACCTAATATAGTCAATGCGAGGGCTATGACGTTATGCATGAGCAAGACTGCGCCTTATTGGGCCGTGGAACGTCATTTATTGTACAACATCGAGGTTCAAGAGCAGTAACACTCTTTCTCTCACTGTGAGGCCAGCGACGTGGATTAATTTACACACATAGTACTCTCCGGACACCATCAGTACTCAACAACTACCGCTAGTACTCTCCAGACACCACCAATACTTCCCAGACACCATTAGTACTCTCCCTATACCACCACTAGTACCCAGACACCACCCGTACTCTCCCAGAAACCATCAGTACGCCCCAGACACCATCAGTGCTTACCAGACACCACAAGTACTGCCCAGACATCAGTACTCTCCCCAAAACCACCAATACTCCCCAGACAACATCAACACTCCCCAAACACCACCAACCGTCCCAAACACCACCAACTATTCAAAAGAATGCAGTGACTCACAATACCGAAATGGGTGAAGCCCGATATTCTGGGAATCCCGCGCTGATGGCAACCAGTGGTGGATGAGGCCAGGTGTGAAAATGGTAAAAGACTACAAGGTGGGTGAGGGCAGGTGTGTGGAAACCAGTGGTGGAGTGAAGCAGGTGTGCGGCAACAGTGGGGGATGGATGCAGGTGTGTGGTATCTAGTGGTGGGGGTAGGCCAGGTGTGTGGCAACCAATAGTGGAGGCGGCCAGATGTGGGGCAACTAGTTATGACTACTGTGGGTATTCACGATAGAAAGGGCTCGGTGTATCCTTCAGCAGGCGATTCCTATATTTAAATATTTTGTTACTTTGGAGTTTTTACTCCCCATTTTTTGATGCATTTAATATCTTATTTTTGTTCATTATTCACAAGTGTCTGAGAAAATAAAACTTATATACAAAGTGATTAGTGCAAAAGCTGATGACAAGACCCGTGGGGACGTTATGACTGAAGACGAGGAATCTATGTAACTAAGGACCGGTGGAGAAATTATATGACTGAGGATCCGTAGAGGAAGCAATATGACTGAAGACCCGTGTTGAAGCTATGTACAGTACAGTGCTGGCTTAACTTGAGTCTCAGGACTCCACAAGGACTCGTACCATTGAGACAGATGTGATGAACTTTAGTGGAAGCACCATACCATTAATCACACAAATGTTAAAACAAAACATAATGATAATAATTAGAGAGGAAATTATATTTTCATAAGAGAAACAGAACATTTATTTAGTCACAAAACAAAATTTCGGTTTGGCAAGAAATGCTGTGAGGAAAAGTATGTTGGCAATGTAAGAGGTAAACACAGGGAGGCACAGGAGAAGATTGTGCACACGAGGGAAAATGAAATTGAAATTTTTTATATAAGTTGACGCAGGAGGAAATTGAGGGGAGGTGTCTGTACACATGGAGGAGGAAGAGGAGCAGAACACGTCACCATACTTGATAAGGATCACTCACCGTGGGAGTTCGTTGTGTAGGTTCGTCTTCAACCGCTTCCGATCCTGACCCGGGTCCTGTAAACAAATATTATCAATTAGAATTACGCAGTTCTACATACAAATTCCATGACCTTTTCTTCTGATCGAAACTGTATTTCTAATACGAGTTCCACGGTTGGTGACTTGACACGATAAACGAAGCCTGATTCATAAATATGTGAAAAGGGCGAATCGAATACAACAATTGCTCCGTTTTTCCATCCTGTATCAAATAATGTTCAAAGTCATGCTTTGCATGGCAGCTAGCTCTGCGGCGTGAAGCTCAATGGTAACAGGCAATCACTGTAACCATTAGCAAAGAATATTGTCGTTTCTTTATGGACTTGGACACCCAAAAATACCAAAGTTGCCCCTACATAATATCGGAAAGTATCTGCGACTCAATCACATACTAGTTTCTAATAACTGTATCACGTTAGACTGGCGCCATGTTTCCATGTCCAGAATTTACACACCAAAAAACAAATCTTCTTTCTACAACCACATCTTGATTATCAACAAATATATCAGCCACGTTTAGACTGTCGACAACTACAACAGCCACGTCCTGACTGTTGACAACTATGTCCTGACTGTCGACAACTAAAACAGCCACGTCCTGACTGTTGACAACTATGTCCTGACTGTCGACAACTAAAACAGCCACATCCAGAGACTTCAGACGTCCGTCAACTGTAGGGAGCAACATCATGACTACCAATAACTGCAGCAAGCCTAGCCCTGACTACTTACAATTGATGCTTTCCTACACCTGTACGAGCTGTCACCTCATAACCTTCCTTAACTTTATAATGTAAACATCAGCTGGTCCTGTCAGTCAACCGCTGCGAATCCTCGTCTAACCTCAAACAAGTCTCAAACATTCCAAATATACTCATGGCAATGAGGAAGTGGATAAACCTTCTTCCACTAATTAAAGATATAATGTAAAATATATTATAATCGTTGTACATTTTTGTATTTTGCTATCAAAATAACCCAACACAATTTTAATCTTATTAACTTTTTATAAATGAACTTTGCAGGTGTTATTATTTCGCAATTATAATTGAATTCTGAGTTAGCAGAAAGCATGGGGGTATTTGTACACTTGAACGGGATTCCCAAAAGTTTATTTTAAGGTAAGCGGCGTTACTTATTGTTTTAACTGTGTATGCGTTTGTTTATGCTTCCCAACTGCAGCCTCGTTAACAGCCCTCGTCAAATCGACTTCACCCAAGTTATATTTCCGTTGTAGATCAGTAAATATTTACTCAACATTCGTAACTTGTTATTGATCCTTCTCCATGAGTTAACTGTACTCGAGAGTTTGGTGATTAAATACTGTATGTCAAAAAATTATTGATGGGTTAATATAAAATTTTAAAAATAAATTTGGTTCAGGTACCTTTTTTTCTTTATTAAATAATATTCAATATAAAGATTATATCTACATCAATTCACAATGGAAAATATTACATTTACGTATATTTTATATAATTCTCAGTAAACCAATTTTCCATATCGTCGCCGAGTATGAGCCGTAAACCACAAATGTTATACTTGATCCTGCCTCGCAAGAACTGACTGTCGTAAAGAACAGTCTTTATGATAGTCTTTTTTAGTGTTAGCATTTAGCACTAAAGAAGACTTCCTGGAGCATACAAGCTAGACTCTCGATTCCCTTATCATTTACTCGTTCTTTTCTGAGGGCAACACGACACACAGATTCTCAAGGGTAATTTATTTGCCCAGCTGGATCTAAAAAAGTATCTTGATATCACATTAAGCAACATGTACACGACTGCCGCCTGTGGCTAAGCACTCTTTTTGACTTTATTTACTTCTTTAGTTGTTCTTCAGGCATACCAATCGCGGAAGGGTCATTAAAACCACGGCAGTAGCTTTCTGACCAACCAGCATGTATACTCTAACCCTGGTCATTGTCCTGGTCTAACGTGAACTCCACTTGATAATGGTCCAGAGCGGACCGAAACGTCGTGGTTTCCTGTTTTTCTGATGTGTGGTTTCGTTATCATTAGGACTGATTGATGAAGATTAAGCCACCCAAGAGGTGGCACGGGCATGAATAGCCCGTAATCATCGTTAAGTAAGCTCTTAGTGTATATACACGGAAGTGAGATACACCTCTCGTGGTATACACCCTTATTGATTGCACTAATATTAAACTACGGTTACACTCTAACCCGACTGCTGACTTTTTAGTTAATCTGTCTTTAGCAACAACCAAAACAAATTATGTTCGTGAACGTTATATTAAAGAACACTTGAGAAAGAATCCGAGTAAAATGATTTAAAAGTGAACGGGAGAAGCAATATTATCAATGAAATTAAAGTTTTCGCAAAACGTCTTAACTAGTATTGATTCTGAAGATTTAATTAAGCGGATTTACAAAACTGCTCCTGCTTTCCACAACATCTTCGTAGCTATTTGTCCTCACAGTGGCGAGGACCTTCATCTTGGGCTCTGGTTCGAGTCACTATTACTCATAAATTGTCCACGTTCGAGTCATTATTACTCATAAATTGTCCACATTCGAGTCATTATTACTCATAAATTGTCCACATTCGAGTCACTACTACTCATAAATTTTCCATCCACTAACACGGATTTTTTTATCAGGTTTCTAATATATATTTTATTATAAAAAAATAGAATGTCATATTATATATTATCTCTGACAGTGTTCTTGTGTACTTGAATAATTTGGAAGTAATGTACTTAACTAAGCCCAAATGATGTTAGCCAAGCCCAAATTACCTCTTCAGACAACAAATATATAAACTACACCTCTGGACATTCCTGATAAATCAGACTCGCAGAGATCTATTTCTAAGTGCAGGAGGGTCCCATGTTTCACCACCTGCGCTCTGGTGACATTATTGCTAATCAGTAACACCTGCGCAAGCAGCTATAAACAGAATGTTAGACGAATAAATGCTCAACAACAAAGCAATCTATTCCTAAAACATCTGTGTAGGCGTATAGGATAAAATATATGATTATGATAAACACTTTTGTCACTTCTCTAATACAGTCACGATTGTCTAGAAAAATGCTGCATTTCAAGAAAATTTGAAATTATATAATTCAGAAACCAAGTATATTATTAATTTTGTAAACACTAGTTAATGGAAGCTCACCAAATTAATTATTTTTATGGCGAATGAGAAGTAAATAATTATCAAAAGATGACGATAATGATTATTAATTAATAAATAATCAACAAGGTTATTTAATAATAAAAAGCCTATTTGTTGTCAAACACAACTAGGTTAGTACTATTTACAAATCTATAGTGGAGGAACTACAAACTTCTATCCTTCCTCATCCTCTCTACTTATCCTGCATTCAAATATCCCGCCTATCCTTCTCCTTTATCATATCCTGAGCGTTCATCCAAGGTCAATAGTCAGGTCTGAGAGTTGTGTTTGGTGTGGCGGTATACATAACAGATGTGATAATTGGAGTAGCTGTGATGGTATCAGTTATGGTGATTGATGGAAGCAGTAATAGTAGGGTGATAGTGTTAGTTGTGGTAGGTAGGATAGGGCGTGGTGGGCAGTGTGGAGGCGCTGGGACAAACACTGTCAAAATAGCGGTGGTTGGCTACTAACCAGGTCCTGAGTCGCCAAAATGTCTGTACATGCCTGCATGTACTCGCTCCTACACGGACCTTTCATGCACACAAATTTCATGTACTCATCACACACACACACACACACACACACACACACACACCTAAACGGTGCCAAACAGATGGAAGAAGTACTAAGGAATGCTAGAAAATTGCAAAGGGATGAGGATGGGAAAGGGTGGTCATTAAGACGAGATCTTTCAAAAGAAGATAGAGAGAAGCTGAAACTGAACCTCGCCGAGGCAAAACATTCAAATGAGAGCAGGAATGAAGAAGAAATAAATTCTTTTTTCTACAAAGTGATAGGGGTAGGCAAACCAGTAAAGTGGTACATAAAGGCAAACCAACAAAATCAATAGAGAGAGGGGGAGTGAAGAATAAGGAGAGGGGGAACAAGTTCCTGAAGATTGCATACACCAACATAGATGGAGTGAGATCGAAGATACTGGAGTTAAGTGATGTAATACAGCTGCAGACACCAGACATTGTTGCACTCACGGAGACAAAACTTGAAGATTTAATTTTAAATGAGGTCATATTCCCAAGGGGCTACTCAATTTGGAGACGGGACAGAAAAATTAGGAAAGGCGGTGGCGTTGCTGTGCTGGTAAAAGAACACCTAAAGGTGAAGGAAATAATGACTGCCAATCCACAAGAAGTTGACATAATAGCACTAGAGATCTGCTATGAGGATGATAAACTAATGATGATAAATGCATATAGTCCACCGCCAAGCAGCACATGGTCAAAGGAGGAGCTAGATAGTAAACGTGAAGGTCTTATAACAATAATGAGAGAGATTATAGCGAGAGCGGATAACGATAGATCACGACTGTTGATAGTCGGTGACTTCAACTTGAAATCCATAGACTGGGAAGCATATGAAGCTAAAACAGAAGATTTTTGGACCTGTAAATTTGTAGACCTCATCCTGGAAACATTCTTGTATCAACATGTTAAACAAGCTACGAGGATGAGGGAAGGGGACGTTCCCTCCATGTTAGATTTGATATTTACCAGGAAGGAGGAAGAGATATTTGACATTCAGTACCTTCCTCCCTTGGGTAAAAGTGACCATGTCTTTTTGGGAATAAAGTATGCAATGCGTTATAAGCTGGAAGAAAATAAGGAGGTTGAAGCAGTTGAAAAACCAGACTTCAGGAGAGGACATTATGGTGACCTTAGAAATTTTTTTAGTGAGTATAATTGGACAGACTTGATGCTAGGCAAGGAAGTGAATGAGATGTATGGCAAGTTTTGTGAAATATATGATAAAGGCACAAAAAAATTTATACCAAAACAGAGATGCAGAACTAGGAAACAGGATTGGTTCAATAGAAATTGCGAGAGGGCTAGAGACCGAAAGACACAAAAATG